AAATAAATTAAAGAAATTACATAAAATATAAAAACTTTTAAATAGTTGATTGAATATTAACATTGATATATTTTTTTTCAAAATTTTATTATATTTTCAAATTTATATTTTATTTAAAAATAAAATCATTATTGCTTTCTTAAAAACATATAAAATCGTATTATAACGTCTACAAAGACACATAATAAATAGAATATTAAAATCGAGATGTGTCTTACTGTATTACACAAGTACTCTTCTAGTATTTATATAATACGAATGGTTTTGGTCCTATTAAATGCTATATGTAGTGTTATTTTTTACTGCTACTAGTATTATATGGTCAAAACATATGGGCCCCTACCCCCCTCTATGTTTGTGAATATGCATCTGACATGTGGCTGTGCACATACATATGCATCAATCCAAAAGGAAATCTAACAAATCACAAAGGAGATGGAACTTTTTTTTTTAATTAACCTGAATATCCAACCCATTATGCAAGTCGACTAATTTCAAGACGACCACCTGCTTTGCAAATAGCCCGGAATCACCGTATTTGAACCTCCATGGCAACAAGGGGATTTGTATTCCTTCTTAGATTTAAACCTAAAACCTCCTGGTACTTTTAACTTTTGTAGCCAAACTCAAACCAATAAAACATCATCCTCATGCGAAACAAACCACAGACTGCAGAATAATTGGAATTGGAGAAGCAGCAGCAGAAGCAGAATATAATAGAGAGATACATAATATCATAAATTCCACCATAAAAAACAAGGTGGGTCACCTACCAGCTCCAAACCAACATATCATCTCAATAACACATAAAAAAAACACCAAAATTAAGAAACACCATCATCCTTATTAATTCTAACCCCTTCCCTCCCTTCCTTTACAAATCCATTTTCTTGTTCACCACAAAATTGACCCTTTCCCTCCCTCAAGGTGCTGCTGCTGCCGGCGGCAGCATCGGCCACCCCAGCAGCTGCGGCGATCCAATCGGTGTAGAATGCTGACTCGGAGAAAACAGGCTTAGTTCCACAAACCCTCCCGAATGATCGTCTCTCTCCATCGTTCGGAACGAGATCGATCCTTGTTTTGCCGATGCAACCGAGTTCCTCCCGCTGCTCGTTATAAACTCGTCTAGTGGGCTTTGGTTAGCGATTAGTGAAAGAGTATCATTGTATTCTTCGATAATCCTTCTCCTATCCTCTATATCTTGCAGATTCTTCAACGCCAATGAGTCCGCAATCGGCAGGTAAACAAGCATACAAACCCCCAGCCCGGCACAACACAAAAGAGAAAGGAAAGCCAAGAACGCAAGAACCTCAAACACCGTTTCACCCGGCTTCGATAGAACAGATAAGCCAAGTAACAGAACCCGTAATGGAAAGAAGCTAGAAATGGAGATTATCAATACAAAGATCCTCCTCTGCATCCCTTTGCTGATCACCAAACTCAGTATTCGCCTCCCGAGCCAGAACAAATAGAGAGTCAACACGGTGGCGAAAAGACCAAGAAAGATGGTACTCAGTAAAGGATAGTAGCAGCGGGTGACATCATCCTCGGATGTAATTTTGAAAAAGTGGCCCCATTTGTCTGTTCCCAAATTCGTCTTATAGTGAGGTCCAACTAAAACAACCATCATCTGAAGAGCAAACATCGGGAAAGAACACAGAAGAATGTAAATGGCTGTTCGGAAGTTCCAATTCTGGCTCAACGGGCCCGACTCGGTCTTCTGTAAGGATGCACGGAGAAGAAAAATGAGGGTGAGGAATAGACATGGTTCTGCAAACCCTAGGTTCGACATGATGTAGCATTTGCAAACAATATCCGGCCATCTTAAGTTAAGGGTATGTAATACCCGACCTTCAGTTCTTAGAAATTCAAGCCGTAGAATCTCTCCGAAACCCCACCAAATTGCAAACAAGATGAAAATGATGCGAACGACCCAAGGACCACCGAAATATCCAAGTCGGTTATAACCTTGACTGCGAATGTGAGATCGGAAGTAAAAAGAGTACAAGATGCAGAGTAAACCAATAAGACCCAAAACAGCAACAAGTGATATCGTAACCACACCAAGTGCATCAGCAACTAATCTTGTCAGGGGCATCACCCAAAACACAGATTCCACGCATGCTCTCTGACAGCATGGATACGCAAAAAGCGCAGTTTCAGCTACATGTACCGGAGACAGCTGAGTCAGATTTTGATGGGAAATACACTTTCTGAGCGCTACTAGCCAGCAGACACCTATTGGTACAACTTTTTAAAGCTGTCCCCTTGCAAACCAACCATTCACAGATGACCAAACGACGGTGTAATATAATCACTTTACTCCAGGTGATTATATCACAATATGACCCGATAATTTAGCAGCTAATGCCTGTAATCACGAATAATGAAGGCCTATTAGACTTGATACACAGGCGTGGCAAATTAAGAAGAGCAGATACATTAACTCATCTCATATATGGAGCGTGAAAGCATCACATTGAATAAACTATTGGACACTACAATGGAGCTTTGTTGGATGTAAACATTGACAGATTCGTAGACATACAACAATTTGGTAGCAACAAATTATAATAATAAGTCTTTAAATTGTTTTTGAGAGAGTCTCTACAGTACACGCACACTATTACCTGCACATGTAAGCCAATACCTTGTTGATTCTAATCTAAATTCTGCCCATCTTTTCCACAAAATGTCAGGATAAAATCAAGAAAGGGGGATATTAAGGGTGTACTTTTGTAGTGATCAGTATCGATCTTAAATTTAATTGGTTAAAATGCTCTCATTATTATATAGGGGGATACAGCCTATATGTATGAAAATGGACATGTTGGTACATAACACTTATATAATGGATCAATGTTCCATAGCTGAAGCAATGTTACCTATTATGTGGCCCATGAACACAACGATTATCTCATTCGATACATATATAGTTCTATCAGTGTGTTGCTACAGGTTTTTTGGAAAGAGGATGAAACCTCAGGCGTTAGCAGTACAGTTAGCTTTTAACTTAAATGTCATGAAATCAGAGAAGCCACTTTTCAATATGTTACCTTAGAAAGGAGTAATAACTGCTAAAAGATCTAAACTAAAAAAACAGACAAAAACAAAGTAATGATAATTTGGGGATAAAAATAGATAAGGTAACTAAATTGGATTTAAGTTTCTGATTTCTTTCTTGCCGGCTTCAGTTTCATTTCATATTCGTCAGTATTAACAGATGTAAGATTAAAAAATAACAGAATTACAACTGATCAGCCAATAGAATGGAAGATAATTTATTGACATTTAAGATTTTTAATGTAATGAAAACCTTAGGTCAGAAAAGATTAAGATGGTATTAAACATTAAGAAGAAAAGAAAGAACATGTCATGAAATTGTCTCTCCTGATCAAGTTTTCTCCCTTTCCCAATATGCATGCACTATTTTGAATCCTACAAGAAAGCCCTACTAATTTCTTACAAGAAAGACAACAGTTGAGAGAAGTGACCTATTGCAATCAAGAAGCTGTCTACTCAAATACATGCTCATTTTTTTTTCTTTCGATAGGCCTTCGAGTTCTTCTCATTTATGAGCATCATGTAAATTGGACATACACTACCTGACTTGGATTTACACGACAGGGCTAGAGATGTTGTGTCCCTGAAGCCACCCGGCTTGCAAAACAAAGAATAAAAGAAACAAGGAAGCAGGCTACAGGCGAGGAACATGAAAATATGGCAGGCTATATATTATGAAAAGCCGAGCAATCAAACAAATAAATAGAAACCCTACACAGTGCTAGGCCAGATTTAGGCACTAATAACTAGCAAGACAATAACATTCCATGTTATGATTGTTCTTAACGCAAATTTGAGCAAGTCAACTTATGATCCGTTCAAGGTTCAAAGCCCATGATCTTGGCTAACCAACTTTCCGAGATTTCGGGCCTAAACCAACAGATAAGAGATGATGCAGATAAAAAGGGGTAGATATGGCCAGAAAATTGATCTATCTTACACACTTTGGAAATAAGTTATTCCTTTCTTCTCTCTCAACATTCTAAAAGGCTTGTAATTGCATATTGTGACCGATGACATTTTTGTACGAAGCTATGGAAGTCAATCATTACCAAATAGTGGAACAGTGATGTGATGTCACCTGTGGTAAACCCCCGATCTCACAAATCGTACTTATTCGGTCTGTGTGATTACCGATCCTAATAATGCCAGAAGGATCAAAGTAGACAAGTAAATAGTATAAGCAGTCTACAAATATGTACTCAAGCAGCAGAAGCAAAATCATATAAATGGATCATATACTTGAACTTCATAATTCAGTTTCGTAATGGCAAGTTGTATACCAATTAAACTGAAATTTCCAACATACCTTGTCTATAATGGGCTCGTTAGAAGTTAAATAGTTCCTGCCTGTTTGCATATTCATATAATTTTTCATTAAACACAACCTGGGGTTCTTTATGAACCAAAACCCCATCTTCCCCATAAGCATCCTTCAAGAAAATAACCCAGTTCACCTCAGTTCTTGCCAAGTAATAACTCTGGGGCTGCTTCAATAGCATAGAATAAGTATGCTTTGTGAGACTCAACTCCTCTTTGAATTCCACTATATGGTGAATCAACGCTCTTTTCTCCAATGTCAAGCTCAACAACTCATGAAGAACCCCTACCCTATACTTGTTGTCGGCCTCCAAAGTACAAAGATCCAAACTCTCCCCATCAAAATAAGGTGAAACAAGAGAAAGAGTGTTCAACAAATTCAACTTCCCCTCATCTTGTCGAAGGACCGGTAATCTTACCTGGTAAGAGGCATGACAACAACCGAAGTTTTTACCCGGTAAGTGAGGGAGAGAACTCTTACCCGATTAGCGCTTACCAGGTAAGAAACGCTTACAAACAATGCTGATAGCCGAGAATGTTATCCCACATGGTAAATAAGGGTGGTGATTGTTGCGGGTAAGTGCTTACTCAATAAGCATTTGGTAAACAACCCCTAAGTTGTACATAGATTCGTTATCAAGGGGATTTTAAAAGTAGATTTTTGGTGATTTCATGCGTTTATTTGAAACTGATTTAGGATTATTTATTTTAATTTTAATTTTGTGAAGTATATTCTATGATACTGATGAATCTTAGATCTTGTACTCAATCCGATCTCAAGTGAGTTCATAATAAGGGTGATTTTAGCTTAAGATCATCTTATCAAAGTTCAGCTAATAAGATGCTTTTTAATTGACCCCAATAATGGATTTAATCGTAATGACTTTCCTGTCGAAACCTGAAGTGTCAGACTATCTTTATTAATAATCCAACACCTTGCATAATCCATACCTATCCAAACCAACTGTCCTCGTATCTAAGCTATTGTATCTGACCCAGTCGGTATCAATTGACTATCTTTGTATTGCCAATTAATTCAGACATTCATAGTCATTCAAATACATAAAAACCTATTACAAATCAAACATTAAAAACCAACAACTATGAGTCACATGTTGTTCCCATAGAAATACTCATATTTTATACATTTGAAATTGAAACAAACAAAGAAAAACGAATAACAATTAAATCACAGCTAGGGTTTCACTTAGGGACGAACTCGAATTATAGGGAAACGTGGTTTAAAATAGGTAAAACCCACGGATGACATCACATCACAGTTCCACTATTTGTTAATGATTGACGTTCAAACCTTCGGACAAAAATGTCATCAGTCACAGTATGCAATTACAAGCCTTTTAGAATGTAGACAGAGAGACAAAAAAGGAATAACTTATTTCCAAAATGTGTAGATAGATCGATGTTCCAGCCATATCTACCCAATTTTTACATACATTTCTAAAAAGCCAAACCACCAGTTTTTTTCTATTGCACACAGTTAACAAACAGAAATCCAGTTCCAGCTTACTATCAAAAACCAAGGCAGTCTTTGATACTCATTTGGTTTTTAAAACTAAGATTCAATCTAGGACCAGATGCATGTCCATAACGTATAACCTTACTAGCATACAAGAAGCAAACTCTACAAATCCAATGACACGGGTAATTTATGTAGCGAACCATCGCCGAAGGAACCCAAAATATCTTTCCAAGGACACCTAAGGCCAACCAAGTTTTCATACAACCAACAACTACCAGAAAATATTCTACACGAGAAAAAATAGTCAAAAACTATGAAAGCTCCTGAAGGTGTGATAGTGTCATATTGATTCAGTGCCCAAGAGGAATTCTTTAGATTTGAATATAGTTCCTATGAAGTTTCTTCCACATGGCCAGCAAAATCCAATAGTAAGAGAAAACTTATGATTGTTGTCTGAAAATAGCATTTATGTTCATACAAAATTCAACTTTTCTACCTAGGATCTATCAGTAACCCACACAACCTCAGGCCTTGAGATAAAACCTTCAGTGTATAATAAAATAAAATAAAATATCGGAGTCAGGACAAAAAACCGCAGAACAAAATAGGCAAATACTTATTCACCAAACACGATAACTTGAAATATTTCACAGGTTTCCTCCAGACTATAATTAGTCCAAAACATTTTTACCATTCATAAAATCAAACACGGAAAACACAAACCGAATTCCTTCGTTCATTATGAGCATGTTAATAGTCCACGTCGATTACGATAATCAAATTTCATCAAAAAATACAGAGAGAAAACTACCAAAAGCAGTAAAAAACAGAATCAACAAACAAACAATTTATTCTTCAAGGAATTAGACGGATAATCAAGACTTGGTTTCACAGATTTTACTATGAAACCCTAAATAACAAAAACAAAGCAGTTATTCAACATACATAAAACCGGTACCCAGAGATAAAAGCAGATCAAACTTACGATTGCAAAGTAGAACTGGGGATGGGTTGAGCTGAAACCAGAATCAAAATCACAAATGTAAACCCTAGAGGGAGAAAGAGACAGCCTGAGAGAAAGAGGGCGAAAGAGAACGTAAGGTAAGGGGAGGACCAAGGCAAATAGAGAGAGAGAGGGGCTTTGTTGATGACAGCCTGTCTCCAGCAAATACACCATTCATGGAAAAAGAAATCTAAAAATAGAAGATAAATAATTATTTAACAACTAATGGAAAAATAATCAATAAAATATAATATTTTTATTATATTAAATTTATTTATATTATCATTTATCGTCTTTAAATAATATTTTTATATATCTCTTCTTTAGTATGTGTCGGGGGTGTTTGGGATTGTTTATTTGAAACAACTTATGTTTTTTTACAAAAGCACTTATCAACTTATTATAAGTCAGAATAGTTTAATTTCTTCAAAAACTTCTTATTACCGGTTTGACACCGGTATAAGTTGTTTATCCAAACAGTCAAACACTCAAAAGTGTTTATTACCGATGTCACATCAGAATAAGTCAGTAAGTTGTTTTTATAAGCAACCCCAAACACCCCCTAAGCGTCCTTCCTTTTTGTTAAGTATCAATTATTTATATTAAAATATGTTTTAAATTCAATATTTTTAAACACATGATAATTACGAGAATACAGACTCGTTAAATTTTAAAAGTTCGTTTTGTATTTAACTTAAATACGTTCAGATTACCATCATTGAGTCGTGATCCAAACAACAAGCATAATTCAACTGTCGTTATCATAGAATTTATTCTTAAACGCTCTCGATGCTAAGTTTTGACCCTTATAACAACCCCTTGTGGTTCAAATCACGTCATTGATTAAGCATCATATTACTTGAATTCTCGTTACGTAATAGACCAGCGCGTTTATGACTTGTACGGAGAAGACTTCAGGTACAAAAGATAGGTTTTATACGATATTGAATCACAATTGTCGTTTATATTGGTATTCTGTTGAATGAAGATCGGTTTTTTATTACTTGGCCAAATAACCCATGTATGGTATGTTTTTTAAGAAAACAACGTAACACGATGCATGCTGAATGGGAATTCTTAATGATCTCGGTCGTCATTTTCATTCGAGAATGGGATAATCATACAAGAATTTTTTAATTGTATTTCTATTTATGCTCGATAAAGTATGTAATGATTTTAATCTTAACCATCGGTAACTCGGTTTAAATTTTAAAAAGGAATAAAGCCTAAGCTTCGTAATTGATCGATGTTGAGTCTACGAGAATACGACAAATAAGTGTTTGCAAGGTTGAATATGACAATTGTTGAGACAAGACAGTTTTACCTGTAGTCTAGGTGGTCTCATGCCATCACTCAATTGTCCCAACGTAGTGGGGAAAAAAATGCAAAGTGACATCAATGTGTGCCACCATATGGCATCATCATTGGAAACTGATATATGCACAATTGCATACCAAACACTGAATTTAAGTTTTGATGATTAACAATGATGGAACACCAAAAAAAACATGACTGTTGATCGTTCAAATTTGATCTGATATTTTAGTGTTACTGTTTTGTGTCAGAACTGAAGGAAAAAATAACTGGATTCATCTATACGTCTAAGATCTTTTTTCCCTTTTTCTTGATGCCTTAGAAAACTCAACTCCGTCAATTATTAACCATATTGGGCATACATGTTATGTATCCTCATAAAGCCTAAGATGGTCAATTACAGCAATTGTAGATGACGTATCAGTAGTCACGCTTATTTTAATCAGATATCGTCCACGCATACTTCATATGCAAAAACGTGTATTCTACTTTCCATTCTTATCCCTCCTTCTGGGTTGCTTCACGAGGTCCCCGTATGACATTAGCATTTTTGTCGTTGTCTTGTGAAATAAGACATAGAAACGTAGGTTCGTATCTGCTCACTATGTCAAACTCATTCAACATTTCACTTTATACTTATCTTTAAATGTATCATGTTGATAATATGTAACCCAATATGACAATTAAATGTAAGTACATTCCTTTTAGATTTAATTTACCATCTACCAATTACTTCTGATACCGACTTTATATATATAGGGTTGGATTCACGTAATACCAAAGATTTTTCTTGAGATCCGTAAGACCAATTTATGTTCATTGATCAACTTTATAAGCTAATGATCTAATGGCTTAAAGTTGCACGGTGGCAATTTTGTGATTATTGAGAATCTCGTGGCAATTTTGTGATTATGAATGTTCAGATTATAGATCTAATCAAAGGGTTAAAAATTGGTCTTACGGGTATCACGAAGAACCCTTGGTCTCACATGATTCCAAGTATATATATATATATATATATATATATATATGTGTGTGTGTGTGTGTGTATGTATGTATGTATATGTATTTCTTCTTTGTGCATCCTTATGTGACGATAAAACTACGAGTCATTTATCATTTCTAAAGTACACTTGCACAAAATAAAGTATTCTTGTTGTTTGAAAAAATAGCCTTACGATTGTCGCTATGAGCCTATGATTGTCAATTGCTAGAATGTATACATGATTTCAAGAGACGTCTTTCGTATATATCATTATAAGGTATTGATAAACTTGATCATGACGGGTAAATTTAATATAGGGAAATATACACATTTTGATGTGGCTTTATTTGGAAAATCACGTAGGAAATATGTTTTTTACTGTATATTGAATGACAATTGACAACTGATGTCGAGAAAGTTAAAATCTGCATTACCTATGTCCATTCATTTGTCTTCAAAACTGACTTTTCACATCCATTACCCCTAGCCTATAAATAGAGGTACCCGATTTTGAAATTCTTTTTTTTCATTTAGACCGTTCATCCAGATTTCTTTTATTCCCAGTTCTTCTTGATTATGAAATCTTGTAATAGATATACAACACATATTGAGTTCATCTAATTAATGTGGATGTGTTGTCGGAGTTAAATGTCATTATATCATGCGAGGTAGACATACAAGTATCTCTAATATGAAACAAGGGACAAACTCTTTTTTTGATTAACCTGGATATCCAACCCGTTATGCGAGTTGACTAATTTCAAGGAGCCCGAAGTCACGGCATTTGAATCTCCGTGGCCACAGGAGGATTTTTATTCCTTCTAGGATTTGAACCTGGGACCCCATACACTTTTGACCTTTGGAGCCAAGCTCAAACCAATCAGGTACCACCCTTGTGATTAACGAGGGACAAACTTGTCTTAATGAAATTGCGTTCACCTTATAACTCAACATTTGCTTACATATTAAATTTCTTTTAATTTTGCTTAACAAAAATATCTAATATTTAAGAGTATATTTACATATTTGGTATGTGGGTTTGTATGTTTTTCTTACGTTTCTTGCCGGAGTCTAATCCTTAGTAATATTTGGTTTTTATTTAGGAAATAACATAACTTTAAAAGAAACTTAATTATTTACACCTTGATTAATTAAATTTATTTGAATGTTTTAGACTCGAATATAATAGTATAAATATCAATATAAATAATGTAAAATGTCTACAAAATCCAAACCCTAGTTTAATTGGATGTAATCGTTGATCTTGAGATATTACAAGTTGTTTTAACTTTTCATATAACATACGTATAAATTATAATTTGTTTAAATTTCTAAAAGGTGGACCATATTAAATTTCATATCAAAGTACCATTTTAGTCCGAGTGGTCGTTATTATTTAACAAAGTGTGACGTTGAACAGTCGGACATCGTTCATCCAAAATTCCTAGCTTCGCCTCTTATTAGAGGTATATATTTTCTTTAAAAAGGATTTGATTCTTCTCTCTAACATCAATCCCCCATCTCGGTTAAATCCAACGGTAAATTTCCTCCATTTTGATAATTCTTCTCTTTAATTAAAAAAATGTTAAAATGGATCAAACATACAAAATGACTATATCTATACTATATTATAAAGCATTTGACAAAAACTTTTAAAAACCATTTTTTATGCATGAAGTACTGTATATTAATGCATATTATTTAAAGTTTAAGATTACAAGTAAATTGTGCGTAAGTATAACTTATTGAAGCTCCATTATTGAATTCGTATAACTAAATGCAGATAAACGTAATCAAATATAAGATAAATATCTCATTTTTAAATATAAAAAATCTAAAATGTAATTAAGATAATCATTATCTTTATAAAAAATTTGTTGTTAAGCCAAAAATAAATTGCTTCATTATTTGACCTAAGTTAAATTATAATAAACAATTGAATTAAAGAAATTGTACATACAAAAGAGAATTTGATATTAATATCGATATATTTTTTCAAAATTTTATAATATCTTCAAATTTATTTTTATTCAAAAGTAAAAACATTATATTTCTCAAAACCACATAAATCATATTGTATCAACAGAGATAAAAAATACAATGAAACATTAAATAAAAATATATCTCGTTATATTATGCGAGTATCATTCTAATTATTTTTAATAAAGAGGATGAATTGCTATTAAAAAAAACCAAATATCTGAAAAAGTAAATACCCTTAATTAATTAAATAAAGTTTAAAATAAAAAAACCACCAAATCCAGAATTTACTTTAATATTTAAGTATTAATAAAATATTTGTATTTATTAAATTACACCTCAAATACAAGTTGTAATTTGTTGTAGGGAGATGGGCATAATTAATAAATAGTAAATAATAAATAATAAATAATTAATTAGAGGGAAATGACAGGGTGTACCCAGCTGTGAAGAAGCCTGCATGGCAAAATGTGGGTGTTGCGTCGTCTGCGCCTCAATGTTTTTTCCACATATTTTCTTTTTATTTCATGTTTTTGTTTATGTGTCAATGGTCCCCACTTACAAGTCATTTAGGTAAATGACTTTAAATGAGTTTTTAATTAATCATGACCTCCAGGCTAATATAATTAAAAATGGGTTTATACTTATGAGAAAGTCATGGATTTAATTAAAATCTCATTTAGGGTTATATACATAAAAATCTCCCACCACTCTTTTATATCTCTCCTCTCCTTCTTCCCCAAACCCATACATGTGTAAAAACCTCTTCCTTATAGCTCTTGATCTTCTTCAACAAACGCTAGCGACGCCGATGACCGTTATTT